GAATGAGGGCCCATGGATGAGGTCCCATGGATGAGGGCCCATGGATGGAGGCCCAGGGATGTGGATGTTGTGTTGGGGTAGGTGGAGGGCTCGGGGCGTGGTCGATGATGAGCAGTGGAGGGAATGTGAGGAATTAAGAGGATGGAATGTACGGAATTTTAGTGGCATCACCAGACACCTCTCCCCTGCGTGCATTCCCACAGCACAGCTTACCCCCCCCCCCTTCATCAGCAGCCAGCAGCTGCAGCATCAATGGCATCTGCCCAGAGGGCCGAGTCTTCCCAAGGCCTGTGGAGGGGAGAGGGGAAAAAAACAACGTGGTGTCACCCAACACCACTGAACGAACCTCTTCACCATTTTATTTGGCGGTTGCTGTCGAGTAGGCCAAGCGGTGGACAAGCACAATTAATACAAAACAACAACAAACACTCCACATTTGTGAACAACAGTGCGTGGCCTTAAAAAGGAAAAGAAAAAAGATAGGCAACGTTTCGGACAATGACCCTTATTCATAGAACATAAATATGGCCATTTTATGTGCTCTGAGTAAGGGCTATTGCCAAAAAAGTCACCTATTTATTATTATCAATTATATTTAAAGTTAAAAATGTGGTATCTAAATAATGATTTTCAATAGTATACATTTTTTGTCTCTCAACTGTCATTCATAAACATCATATTGTTAGTCTGGTTTTTTTTTGTTATGCAAGGTGAGATACACTTTCATTGGGATACGTTTTGCGAAATTCTGGGCCGGCTTGGCTCAAATTTGTAAAAAATAATTTTCCCTCTATAAAGTAAGTGCTATATTAACCTTCGTCAGAAAAAAGAAATATGCTGGTTTGCTTGACTGTTTAAAAAAAAAAAATCAGAGCTCTTAAACTGCAGTTCCACATCAGCCTGGGTAGCGTCTGGGTTACCACACAGCTATGTCGGTGTCGCTACATTGGGATGTTTCAACAATTCCATTATTAATAAAAGCCCGGCTTCGTATGTACGTAGAACTTCTTTCGCACCCTACAGAGCCAACCGTGCTAATCGGAGGCGAGAAAAAAACAAGAAACTATGGATCTCTGTGCGAGTCTATGGGCTTCTATGCGAGTCTGTATGCATGTTGAACTTCTTCTGCACCGTACGTAGCCAACCGTGCTAATCGGAGGTGCGGGGGAGGGACAACAAACTGGACCCAAAGGGAAGTTCTGAAGAATTTCGTTTTCAATCAAGATTTACTAGAGAGGAGAATCCCCACCTCCACATGTCAGAGGGAGGTAACAACACTCCCAACCTCCGCACGGATAGATTTATTTATTTTTGTCCCTGTTTGTTATCCCTTTGTTTTAACTCGGCTAGTTGGTGGGTGGGGGGGGTGTAAGTGCTCCGTCACGTGGACCGATTCGGGGGTCAGGGCTGCTGCTGCTGCTGCGTGGTGCTACTGGTATTGCGTTGTGACACTGCTGGTATTGTGTGGTGACACTGCTGGTATTGTGTTGTGACACTGCTGGTATTGCGTGGTGACACTGCTGGTATTGTGTGGTGACACTGCTGGTATTGTGTGGTGACACTGCTGGTATTGTGTGGTGACACTGCTGGTATTGTGTGGTGACACTGCTGGTATTGTGTGGTGACACTGCTGGTATTGTGTTGTGACACTGCTGGTATTGTGTTGTGACACTGCTGGTATTGTGTTGTGACACTGCTGGTATTGTGTTGTGACGCTGCTTGGTGGTGACACTGCTGGTATTGTGTTGTGACACTGCTGGTATTGTGTTGTGACACTGCTGGTATTGTGTTGTGACACTGCTTCGTGGTGACACTGCTGGTATTGTGTTGTGACACTGCTGGTATTGTGTTGTGACACTGCTGGTATTGTGTTGTGACACTGCTGGTATTGTGTTGTGACGCTGCTGGTATTGTGTGGCGACGCTGCTGGTATTGTGTGGCGACACTGCTGGTATTGTGTTGTGACGCTGCTGGTATTGTGTGGCGACGCTGCTGGTATTGTGTTGTGACGCTGCTGGTATTGCGTTGTGACGCTGCTGGTATTGTGTGGTGACGCTGCTGGTATTGTGTGGTGACGCTGCTGGTATTGTGTGGTGACGCTGCTGGTATTGTGTTGTGACGCTGCTGGTATTGTGTTGTGACACTGCTGGTATTGTGTTGTGACACTGCCGGTATTGTGTGGTGACACTGCCGGTATTGTGTTGTGACGCTGCCGGTATTGTGTGGTGACACTGCCGGTATTGTGTTGTGACACTGCCGGTATTGTGTGGTGACACTGCCGGTATTGTGTTGTGACGCTGCTGGTATTGTGTGGTGACACTGCCGGTATTGTGTTGTGACGCTGCCGGTATTGTGTTGTGACGCTGCTGGTATTGTGTTGTGACGCTGCTGGTATTGTGTTGTGACGCTGCTGGTATTGTGTTGTGACGCTGCTGGTATTGTGTTGTGACACTGCTGGTATTGTGTGGTGACACTGCTGGTATTGTGTTGTGACGCTGCTGGTATTGTGTGGTGACACTGCCGGTATTGTGTTGTGACGCTGCTGGTATTGTGTTGTGACACTGCTGGTATTGTGTTGTGACGCTGCTGGTATTGTGTGGTGACACCGCTGGTATTGTGTGGTGACACCGCTGGTATTGTGTGGTGACACTGCTGGTATTGTGTTGTGACGCTGCTGGTATTGTGTGGTGACACTGCTGGTATTGTGTTGTGACGCTGCTGGTAGTGTTGTGACGCTGCCGGTATTGTGTTGTGACACTGCCGGTATTGTGTGGTGACACTGCCGGTATTGTGTTGTGACGCTGCTGGTATTGTGTGGTGACACTGCTGGTATTGTGTGGTGACACTGCTGGTATTGTGTGGTGACACTGCCGGTATTGTGTTGTGACGCTGCTGGTATTGTGTTGTGACACTGCTGGTATTGTGTTGTGACACTGCTGGTATTGTGTTGTGACACTGCTGGTATGGTGTTGTGACGCTGCTGGTATTGTGTTGTGACGCTGCTGGTATTGTGTTGTGACGCTGCTGGTATTGTGTGGTGACACTGCTGGTATTGTGTGGTGACACTGCCGGTATTGTGTGGTGATGCTGCTGTGTGGTGACACTGCTGGTATTGTGTTGTGACACTGCTGGTATTGTGTGGTGACACTGCTGGTATTGTGTGGTGACACTGCTGGTATTGTGTGGTGACACTGCTGGTATTGTGTTGTGACACTGCTGGTATTGTGTTGTGACACTGCTGGTATTGTGTTGTGACGCTGCTGGTATTGTGTGGTGACACTGCTGGTATTGTGTGGTGACACTGCTGGTATTGCGTGGTGACGCTGCTGGTATTGTGTGGTGACACTGCTGGTATTGTGTTGTGATACTGCTGGTATTGTGTTGTGACACTGCTGGTATTGCGTGGTGACGCTGCTGGTATTGTGTTGTGACACTGCTGGTATTGTGTTGTGACGCTGCTGGTATTGTGTTGTGACACTGCTGGTAGTGTTGTGATACTGCTGGTATTGTGTGGTGACACTGCTGGTATTGTGTGGTGACACTGCTGGTATTGTGTTGTGACACTGCTGGTAGTGTTGTGATACTGCTGGTATTGTGTGGTGACACTGCTGGTATTGTGTTGTGACACTGCTGGTATTGTGTTGTGACACTGCTGGTATTGCGTGGTGACACTGCTGGTATTGTGTTGTGATACTGCTGGTATTGCGTGGTGACACTGCTGCGTGACGCTGCTGCAGTACTTTAATGCCTCAAAGCTGGGCGGTGAACCCCGCTCGTGAGTCAGCGCTGAGTCACAATCGGAAGAAGAAAAAAAATCAACATCACCCGAACATTCCTCTCCCCTCCACCATCGCCGCCTCCCAACGATTCGCACAATAGATGGGGGGCAGGCTACATGACCACCCGGGTCACTCTTAACGAAGACAAAGACCTCCCATATAGCCTTAACAGACTGTCGGGGCAAGTGCCGTCACAGCGAACATCTATGAAGGCCGGCACGGCACACGAGACGGGGGGGGTGTCCAACACCACGCTCGGCCGCCTTTGTCTCCCCAGTGGCAACGTTTACTACACAGCCCCAGGTACTCATTTGAGGCCGAGTCGACCTTGGGGAGGCCCAGGTACCGGTTCAGATGATCGTCACCGGTATTGGCCGCGAGTTGGGAATCGAACTCGGGTCGCCAGGTTCGTAGCGCCAACCGCTACCCACACACGGACGCACACATGCATGTTCAACTTAAAATAAAAAAATAAGAGGTGATTAACGATAATTAAATCAGCTCGGGTGTGCGCGGTGCTGCTGCTGCTGCTGCATGGATCGTTACATCGCAGGGCTGTGAAGGCGGCAGCGGCTTGGGGGGCTTCATCCAGCAGTGGATTGAGCGTGGCCACCGCTGACGCTCCTTGAAGACGACTTCACGCTCCGGCAATGTTGGACTTTGGCTGTTGTTGGGGGGAGGGGGGTGAAGAGAGAGAGAGAGGAAAAAAAACCTTTTGACTCGATTCATCATCAGCAATTTCACCCCCATCCCCCCCCCCCGCCTCCACCACCAACGTTAAGTGGCCACATCTGTGGAGTTGGTGGGTGGGTGGGGGGAGGGAGGGCTTGAGCTTCCTCGGGTTTATTTTCAACTACTGCTGCCCCGATGTAACAGATTAACAGGGGACTGCTCCGCAGGAGTAATCCCCTCTCCTGCCAGGCACTCCGCCACCACCCCCCCCCCGAGCTGTCTTTACATATAAATGAATGAGATCGCGGATTAAGGGCCATTTGCATGGGCGTATGCAAATACAAAGATCCCCCCCCGTATAGCCCCGCAAGGAATGTTGGGGCGAGTGCCGTTAGCGAGCAGCACCTAACGAAGGCCGGCAGGGACAGCACCACGCCCCGGCCGCCTTTGTCTCCCCTAGCAGCAACGTTTACACACCGCACCAGGTACTCATTTGAGGCTTAATTAACCCATTACACGCAACGTGCACACACAGGAGGCAAAGGCGGGTTAAGATTAAAATCTTTATTCTTTTTAAGAAAAACAAACGCACAAAAAAACCTTTAAAAAAAAACTGCTTAATATATATGTAGACCTCACGAACAATTAAGTCAGGTTTCACGACTAGTTCACAAAGGGCACTTGTAATGTGTTCACTTGCAGTTACGTAAAAAGTTGCTCAACAATGACAGCCTCGTGAAATGCAAACAGCGGAAGGGGGGGGGGCCCTTTCCAAAGCATTGCCCCGAACTCAATTCTAAGCGTCGTTCCCTTTGGGTACACAGAGAGACATTTGCGGCGACTGCGATTATAAATACCAAGGCTTAAAAAATAACCCCCGCCCCCCCCAAAAAAAAAAACAACAACCACGAGCAGCATTCGGTCAATTGTAGAAAATACTGAGTTGGAGAATTTGGGGGGGGGAGGGGGGGGGGGGACAGGGACACGTATCCGTCAACGAGGTTTGTGTAACGCTTCTTCTGGCTTCGAGAATCCGGGAGGAGCACCCGATGGGACGACAGCGGAGGCGGAGGCACGGGAACGCGCTATCGGCATGCACGCAAAGGACGCCCGCTTGCGAACCTCAAGCACGGACTACCACGCGAACGATTGGAGTTTGCAATCCAAGAACAATTTATGAAACCCCCCCCCCCCCACCCTCCTTACCCCACAGGCCGGATTAACGCGCTTCTTGGCAAGTTAAAGAACACTTTTAGGTGAAGATGTGGCAACATCTCCACCATTAACTCCCCCACCTCCACCTCGGCAAAAACGCCGTGGGGGGGGGGGGGGGGGTAGGTGGTCATGTGTTTCCCTGCAACGATGCAGATTTTGGTCGGTTGCGATTTGGTGACGAGGGGCGATGGGGTTTGGTCCACGATGCCAACGTCGTTCCGGAAGGACACTCCGGAGACAACCGCTCCCACCACTTCCCGTGCGTGTCAACGGAGGATCCAGCGCAACAAGGGCCCCCCCCCCCCCCGGGGGGGGGGGGAGGGGGGGGGGACACACCAACACCAAACGGATGAACGATAACAGGTTTTAACGGTGCACGCGAATAATCAAGGGGGGAGGGGGGGGGAGCGATAGCACGAGAGGCTTTAGAAGCGCCAAGAAGAAGCGTGTCCACACACTTTAGGTGAGAATTAATGCTCGGGCGGATCTCGACGCGGGGGGGGGGGGGGCAGGGGGGGGGGACTGCTTTTGTGGAAGCGCGTGCGGCGATAGATGCCTGCAGCCGAGAGGTTTTGCTGGGACAGACCGGGTTGGGGAGAGTTCATTTTTAACGGGCGGTCCACAGCGTCCACGCTCTCTGACGATGACGAAAGGAGAGCCGAGAGAGAATGAGGAGAGATGAGAGCACACGCCGTTTAGAAATCTCTCTCTCTCTACTCGTGTTGAGTGTTGCTTTGTTAGAGCCTTGGTTTGTAACCCTTAAGAGAGGAAAAAAAAGTTGAATAAAATGGCGAACAGAGCACAGTTGTTGGCTTTCAGTCTTAACTTTTAAAAAAAAACGCACACAAAGTCATTTAATGCAGCATTGGGGGGGGGGGGGGGTCATTAAATTATCTTCAAGACACACACACAAACCTTTTAAGTTAAATCATTAAGTTGTTATAATAAAAATGGGAAGAACACTTTGGTATGTTTTGACAAACACTTTCGCCGCCTAACTCTCAAAATAATCTACTGGCGATTACGCCGTTATTATTATTATATAAAAACACAAAACCCACGAGACACGTTCCCTCCTTTGGTCTTAAAACATTTCGATATATTCCTTTATAAACAATTTAACTTACAACGACCGCGGCAAGTTTCCCTGCACCCTTCCAAGCAGGGGCATCGATGAGTTCTGCACAAATTAACCCCCCCCCCCTCCCCCCCACCCCAGGGGGCTGCCGTTTGCAGCTAACGCGCGCTTTGGCAATTTCATCAACATTTTTTTTTGAGTTTTTTAAAAAACCGTATCGGCTGTGGAAATAAAGCCGCCGACTTTAACTCACGGGGCAGGAAGCACGGAGCTGACGATGCCGTTTTCATGCCAGAGCACATTCAGGTTCGTTCTCGCCGCCCTCGACGCACGCTCCACCCTACACACCACCCTCCACCTCGTGCAGATGCCACGTCGCCTCCTTGACCACGGGTCGCGAGCCCACGGCCCGGGGTCGCGAGCCCACGGCCGGGGTCGCGAGCCCACGGCCGGGGTCGCGAGTCACGGCCCGGGGTCGCGAGTCACGGCCCGGGGTCGCGAGCAACACGGCCCGGGGTCGCGAGCAACACGGCCGGGGTCGCGAGCAACACGGCCGGGGTCGCGAGCAACACGGCCGGGGTCGCGAGCCACGGCCGGGTTCGCGAGTCACGGCCGGGGTCAGAGAGCCACAGCCGGGGTCACGAGCCCACGGCCGGGGTCACGAGCCCACGGCCGGGGTCAGAGAGCCACGGCCGGGGTCAGAGAGCCACGGCCGGGGTCGCGAGCCACGGCCCGGGTCGCGAGCCCACAGCCGAGTCGTGAACGATGGCTACCCCCACCCAATAGGAGAGAGAGCGTGTGCGAGGTCACACCGCGTGGGTAAACACCGACGAGCCCCAAGGGGGTCACACGGCTTTAATCGATCACATCAGCCGGACGCGTGCCCGCTACTCAAGATGCGACCCCCCCCTCCCCACCCCCCCACTTTGTGCTTTCACGCCGACCTCCGGCCTCCGGCCTAGTTGGGGAGTATTGACCGGACGGGACCGCGCACACGGTGACCAACGCGAGCTGGGTGGCTAAGCCCACAGCCAAATCAAGGCCTGGCTAGGCCCACGAAACCCTGCTCGCCACACCGACGGCGACACCCTCAAATTGCGATTCCGGCAACGCTCGGCAAAATAACACCGGGGGGGGCGGCGCTGGCGGACGTCCGGCGTGACTCGCGGCTGCATCTTGGCAGTGTCTGGCTGTGGAAGCACGACACGAGAGAACTCCCTCCCATCCCCTCCTCCCTATTGCATATTTTGTCCACACCGCGACACGCTACATTCATTCACTGCGGAAGTTTCCGCTGCCCCTCGGGGAAAGTTTGGCAGCGACGGCAACAAAATAACGACGACGACGACAGTTAACCACGACGAGAAATCTACACGCGCGAGTTGCGACTTACGTCTAAATATTATTCCACAAGGTCAAACCTATTTTTGTGGGGTCGGGGTGGGGGTGTGGGTGACGAGGAGAGAGGATTTCATATTCATCCAACGAAACGGTGAGGTATTTGTAAAAAAAAAAAAACAATTGCGCTTAAAAATTTCTATAATAAACAAAAAATTAACAAGTGAGGTAGAGAGGTAATAATGCCTTTTGGAACTACAGTAAAATGACCGCGAATCGGATGCCCTGAAAAAGCAAATTGCAGATCGCGCTGTGAGAATACGGAGGGGGGGGGGGGGCGGTGCACCCCCCCCCCCCTTACCTATGGCCACGGCGCCATGTGGCTGAGCGGCCAATGGCGCAAGACCGTCGGCGAGGGCCACGTGGGCGAGCTGTAAACCAACGAGAAGGTGCCGCGAGCCCGTACCCCCCCCCCCCCCGCTTGTAGCCGCGGACGACGAAGGGAACGGGGGAAGAGGGCGCCCCGCTGCCACCTCCGTCGCCGCCACAGGCGCCGTCCGTCAACGCGGCGACGCACGGCACTTCCCTGAGATGCTGCTGCGGTTCGATACCAGGCGAGCGACAAAAGTTCGATACCGGAGACCACCCAAGGATGTCCGGGTACGTAACCGACAAAGCAAAGTTTCATAGAAAAATCTAATTTCTTAGGATCCGAAAGGAGACACCCGCCCCCCCGTCCGCCCACGTGTCGTCTCGTCCCCCCAGACGCCAACACAAGCCACGCAGAGCGCCACACAACATACACAGCTCTCTCAACCCTCTCGCGTGTTGGGGGGGGGGGTTGAGGGGGGGGGGTCTCCCTGTGCCTCACCCCATCTTCAACGTCTGCAGTCGACAATAGCAAGAGGCGGCGATAAAAAAACGCGTTTCGTCCGCTTTTGTTCTTTGGCTTTATCTCGTGAAATGTCTCAAAGTCTCCAGTTTATAAAATGTAAGCGAGCAAAAGCCGAGAAATATTCTCTCGATCCCTCGAACAAACCCCCCCCCCCTCCCTTTAGTTAAGGGGCCGCACGCCAGTCCACCAAACACACCGCTGCCAAAGTGCTTACACCATCCCAAGTCCAAGGACGGAGAACAATTGCGACACTCGTCCGCTTTGCCGGTCACGCAAGGAACCCCTACCCCCCAACGAGAACGGCACCCCCAGCGGGGCCGAGCGGGGGTGGGGTGGGGGGGGGGCTGTACAATGGCCACGGAGCCCTCTCGCGCTCTCGAGAGACGGCGTTTAACAGTGGACGTCGCCAACGTTGACGCCGGCCACGCGGAGGATTGTGGGCGACGAACACTCCCCCGGACGGCACACCCAGCCACGCAGGCTCAGCAATTCGCTTATTTTCGGGCAAAAGGAGCGTCGGATTACATTTTATGGGTCTCATCGGCAGGGTACGGCCCCCCGTTCAACGACGCTGCCGCGGGGGTGTGCCTGGTCGTTTACACGGGCGGCGGGGGGGGCGGGGGGGGGCACAGCGAGCAGGGGGAGCGCCGCTCCACCAGAAGGCCCCGGAGGCTTAACGACCAAAAGCTAATTTATGTTTAACGGGGGGGGAAAAGGACAACCGCGTCTATTCATCCGCCCGGCACCGCGGAGCCGACGGGAGCTCAAAATCGGACGCCTCTGTCGCGCAAGCGAGCGGGCGGGCGGCGTTTGGCGTGGCGCGTTGAGCGCTGAAAACGCTTTCATTAGAGTCGGGGTGACGGGGTGCTTGGCGCCGCCAGTCCCCCCGGCCCACGCCAACGCTGCTGGGAACGGACGCTCGAAATCCCGGCAACTCTCCGTCACCCGACGGGGGAATCGACGGAGGACATGGACGGAACGAGAGGAATCGTGCCAAGGGATCAGACTCGTTATGTGGGGTGG